GTGTGCGCAACAAAACGGGTTCGAACAACCAGTTACCACCCTTGTGCTAATGGCATGGTAGAACGCATGCACCGCCAACTCAAAGCTGCTTTAACGTGCCACTCCCACTCCTGGTCTAAGTCACTTCCCATAGTACTCCTGGGCATGAGGACAGCGCTCAAAGAGGACTTAAACACCTCGTCCGCTGAGCTTGTCTATGGAGAGCCGCTCCGTTTACCCGGAGAACTAATCATGCCGTCAGGGGATCCCAGGAGTCTCAGTGACACATCGGATTTCGTCACGGAACTTAGAAGCCGCATGGAAGCCCTTCGTCCAATACCAGCTTCCCGGCATGCGCGTCCATCATCTTTTATTTTCAAGGATTTGGCTTCGGCGACTCATGTCATGCTTCGTGATGACACTGTTCGACGACCGCTGCAACCTCCCTATACTGGACCACACCGCATCCTAGGGAGAAGGGATAAAACCCTTACCTTGGATGTGAATGGCAGGGAGACCACGGTTAGCATTGACCGCATTAAGCCAGCATACTTAATTCCAGATACTGGAGTGTCAACTAATAAACACCAATTTCCATCTCACCAACCCCCATCACCTCCTATCCCAGCACCCATCACATCACCGACCCCGGGTACACATCAATCTATACTACCACCAACACAGGCATCATCTCCTCCAGACCAAGCATCACTTCCAGCCCCTGCCACTACCAGAGCTGGTAGACGGGTTAAATTTAGAGACATTCTAGATTTGTGATGTAAGATTTGTGTTCTTATTTTATTTGTATTTTTTTTTTTTCTTAATAAAACAGCTTATGTCAAAGTTTAGCTACTTCTATTGAAATCAATCAAAATATTTATTAATATGTATAAGCAATTGTAAACAATTTTATAACTCATGTCTTAATTCTAATTCCATGTAACTCCTATTTAGAGTCATCAAACCATTGTTTATTACAAGGAGTCTCTGTTTCGCTTAGTACCATTTTGTACTGTAAGCCCTTTTGGCTACTAATAGAAAATTGTATTTTCAATGTATAACATGTACCTAATCTTAATATCCCCAATAACTGGGTAATTAACTACTAATAATTATTATTATTGTACCTTTTTTGTTCGCCATATTTTTGTATTTAATGTAGTTACATATTTATATTCTTAATAGTTCTGTTATGTACCTTTTTCCTTGTATGTGAGGAGTAAGTAATAATTTTGTAATTTTTGTTATTGATGTTCGCTAGGTACCTTTTTTTTTTTATGTGTATAATGACATATTTTAATAGTTTTGTTTCTGTGTATACCTTACCCTTCTGCGTGGGGGGGTTGTGTGGCGTCCCTCCCTGGGACCCACTATTAGTATTGTTAATAGAATACCAGATATTGTTTATGGTCGCCATTGAGTATCTATGGTTTTAATTTTGGCGGAACAATTTTGGCGCCACTTTTTAGGCGGTTACATGTGTAAGCGGTGTAAAGTCAAGAGATTATAATTATTCAATATTAAATACATATTTTATTGACAAGTTCGCCTCTTATTTACTCGGCGTACGAAGCCAAAAGAGCTTGGGAGGACATTGCCGACGTCATCTTTGAAAATATTACAGAACAAAACGAAAGAAAACAAAATGGTAAGTACTTGTATTCTGTTTTATTGTATTTAATCTTTGAAAAGTAGTCTGTAGTTACATAAGTATTTAATGTATGAAATATTATATAATAATAAAACAATTAAAAAATACGCGAGTCTTGCCATGGCACCCTGCCGGCTGGGCTTAAAAAGTACTCTGCAAAATGATCTCGCAAAGCGTTTCTGGACCTGGTTCTAGGTAAATTATTTGACATATCTGCCATACCCTCAATTGTCAGTGTATCTTCAATACTATAACCGTCGCGAACTCTTATAAAATTATTCAACACGCAGCATGCTTTTACAATGTTCTTGGCAACATTGAAACCTGCATTAATAGGTGTATGAAAGACTCTGAACTTGTTTGACATTATACCAAATGTTGATTCTATGTAGCGTCTACTGCGGCTCAATCTGTAGTTGAAAATTTTTTTCTTGTGGGTCATATTAGTTCTCACATATGGCTTCATAACTTTTTGAGATATTCCAAAAGCACCATCGGCTACAATCACATAGGGAACTGGAATATTCGTCCCGGGCAATGGCTTTGGTTCTGGAACATTGAGATCGTTATTTTCCAAGTTCCTGAAAAGTGTACTGTCTCGGAATATAGACGAGTCGGAATTTTTGCCATATGATCCCACGTTTATGTACGTAAAACAATAGTTTGCATCACACATAGCTAACAGGACTATGGAATAAAAATTCTTATAGTTGTAGAACATTGAGCCACCACCAGCTGGATTTACTATTCGTATATGTTTGCCGTCAAGAGCTCCTATGCAATTTGGAAAATTGGCATTTTCTAGAAATCCATTACTTATATCTTGCCACATATCAGAGGTTCTTGTTGGTATGCATTCATCGTGTAGTGTTTCCCATATTACCATACACACTTCGTTCACGATTTTACTTATTGTTGCAATTCCCATCCTGAATGAATAGTGCAAGTCTGTAAATGTTCGACCCGTAGCCAGGAATCTAAAAAAAAATGTTTGTATCATTACAGTTAAACTACTTCAGCAAAGATGGAGAACAGCCAGAGATGCATTCTTCAAAACAAAGGCTTCTATGAAAAATCAACCATCTGGAAGTTCTGCTAAGAAGTTCAAAAAGTATATTTACTATGATGAACTTATGTTCCTAAACCCTTCAACTGACAATGATTTTGATGAGTCAATGATATCATCGCCCCCAGTTAATGAAGCATCTCCAGAAAACGTAACGTCTCCAGAAAATACAGAATCTCTAGAAAATATTTCATCTCCACAAAACGTTACGTCTCCAGCAGCATTACCAGAGAATATTGCATCACCAGAAAACACAGTGACTTCAGAAAATACACAGCGTGCAAGTAATCACGGATCACAAAATCCATGGATCCAAAAAAGAAAAAATAGACCACGACAAACAAATCAAGAAAATTCATCATTTGAACGCGAGTTATTGACTTTGCTGTCTAACCAGACACCTGATCTTGCCTCTGATGACCTGGCTTTTTTTTCCTCGTTGGGTCCAATTTTACGCGATTTTGATATTGAAGAGAAGTTAGAGTTTCGGGCAAGAGTGCTGCGCGAAGCAACGGCAATTAAAAATATGCGAAATAGGCCCAGTAGCTCTTCATCTACCTCAAGATTTTCACCAAGATATAATACTTATGCTGCTGGCGCATCGTCAGAATACGACTATGTGTATGAAACTACAACAGGTTATCAAACAGCAGAGTATCGCTCAGATAATAATCGATATAATTAACTTTTTTACTGATTTTTAAAATCTAAATTTTTTCTGAACTCAAGCACAAATAAATAAATATTATATTACTGAGAGAAATGATTTTTTATTCTTACCTCAAAGTAACCATCAGGCGTTCAATCGGTGGTATAGGTAGGCGTCGTAAGCTGCAATAAACCAGTTTATTTTTTGTCTTTGACAGTAGTTCGTCAAAACTTCTAGTCGACATACGAAAGTAGTTGAAGAACTTTGTTTCGTCAGCCCTCAAACTGCCGTATAATGTGACGAATTCTCCCGCGACGGCTCTCTGCTCTATTAAAGGGTGTACATGCAGTCTCCTTCTTTGTTTTTTTTTTCTTGAGTAATATAGGGAAATAACCAATAACACCCGCCACAATGGATGCATTGCGCGCGTCTGTACACCACGGCGGTCAGGGCGACACTAAAACACCATAACGCGGACCATCAGTGCGGATCGGTCTGCGCGGAGAGATCCGTACTGACGGTCCGCGTGACACTAAAACCAGCCTAAGGGTAGCGAGGTAGTAGGTAAGTATGGCACGTAGCAAGTGCACCTCATAGAACCACAATACCACCACAGGTGGGCCCCAATGGAACAGGGTTGCGGGAGTAACCCATTATGGTATCGCGCCAATAAGTAAACCTACTCCTCTAGAGTATATACTCTCGCCTCCCCCTGGGCGAGAGAAGTCATTTGATGATTCTCCTCTCACAAAAAAAATCGTATCACTGGTATACGATTTTTATGAAAAGGTTACGATTTTCTTTCACACTGTGGTGTCTGAATGTATACCTACTTAAAAAGTACATAGCACTTCAAAAGATCACATTGTTACTTATCAAGTTCGAAATAGCATCTTTATGAATTAGAAGTGGCCTCAAACTCTAGTCTACCACATTATCAAACAATCAACAAATCGATAACCAACTCGCCGAGAGCCAGAACTTACAAGAGACAATCGGCTGTGATCAGTAAGAATTTCATATCGCCCTAATCTTATCATAGTGTTGTGAGCAGAAACAATACCAAACACAATTTTGTATTTCCGACAGCCTTGGCAGAAATACAAAGTAAATTATTCAAATTTTTAGCTAGATTTTCAACAGTTATGTTATAATTTCCATTTTATGGACTCACATTGTTCGTCGGGACCGGTTGTCGATTGTATTGCTTATAATAATTACTAGCTACTCTTACGCGGTTTCACCCGCTACTCGGCTCCATTTGATCGTAGCGTGATGTTTTATAGCACTCAGGAACATTGCAGCTATCTTTACAACTATATCAGTGAAATAATTTTGGCAATCCGACCAGCGATTCCAAAGATTACTTTCTACATACAAACTTACAAATGAATGATTTTTGATAAACCTATTTATTGAATCAAAACCATTTTTCGAATGACGTAGATGAATACTGTATTATTTAAATAAATAAACATTGGGTTTTAAGAGATATCAAAAGTAATGCCTTTTTACAAATAAATAATAGACATATTTAAAAAAATGGGCCAATTTTATGATATTGGTCGTGAAACGGAACGTAATTCTTATCAACAGTATGACAGTTCTGTCAAATCTGTCACAGCCTGACAGCCATTGACAGTCTGCTGAGCATGGCCGATTGAGTTGCGCACGTTGTTTTTATTATTATAACCTTATATAAATAATAATTGCAGTGGTTTTTTAACTTATTTTCTAAAATGGTGAAGCGGGTAAGTTTTATATACCTAATTTATGCAAGCGACCTTTTCAAATATTACAGTCAATGTCAGAATTTCGTAAATAATCCAATAATTTTCCATGTTGATTGTTTCGTGTTATTTTTTTATAAGATTTCTGTTAAACTTACTCAATGATATTCTAGAATGCAAAGACGTCTGTTTCTGAAGAGGAAGGAGAGTCTCCAGTGGTTAATGAGAACGGAAAGCGTGCTGCAGAAGATCAAAATAAAGATGGGGCTAAGCGCATACGGACCAAAAGTTTATATCGTCAGCCGACAGTGAATGAGTTAAACAGACTGCAGGAGACCGAGAACTTGTTCAACTCGAATTTATTCCGTCTACAAATCGACGAAATCATCCAGGAAGTAAAAGTCAAAGAGAAAACAGAGAAAAAGTTTCTTCAGTTCTTTAATGAATTAAAAACTTATTTACTGTCTATATCAGAAGACGGAACAGAATACGACTTGTCGGAACAAACTCTTTGCAAAAAATTGAAAGTAAAACTGCCTATAAGTGAAAGATTAAGTAAAACAAAATGCATGTTTACTTTTCACAAATTCTCTGATGTTCAAATTGTTGGTTCATATGCTTTAGGATGCTCAATAAACTCCAAACTTAAAGTAGATTTACAAATAACAGTACCTAGTGAAACATACACGAAGAATGATTCCATAAACTACAGGTACCATAAGAAAAGAGCAGCGTACTTGGCATACATTGCAGCCCATCTATCTAAATATGAGCAAATTGAAGAATTGCAATATTCATATGTGAGCATGTCAGAATCAAAGCCTGTATTAGACTTTAAACCAAAAGGAAAACTCGGCAATCAGCTGTCAGTCCGTATTCACTTAGCATGTGAAAGTGATGCGTACAAGTTACACAGGTTCAGTCCAGAACGCAACAATTTGAGAGAAGCATGGGTATTGAATGAGAACTCTGATAATAATACCGAAGTTGGCCCACCTACTCCGTATTACAACAGCAGTGTTTTATCGGACCTTACTGCATCAGTTAATCAGGAGTTTTTGAATGAGTTTTTATTAAAGAGTGATAATTTGAAGCAAGCTATTACTTTGCTAAAGATTTGGTTGCGGCAAAGAGATATGAAAATATCAGGACATATTATGTCTCTGTTGGTTGCATACTTTGTCCAGGCGAAGAGGATTAACAATATAATGAGCAGTTACCAAATTGTGAGGAATATTTGGTTAGCCCTCAGTAAGTAGTTTCATTCATTAATTAATCTAAATTATAATTAGCTTATTAGTCTAATAAAAATATTGATTATTAGCTCTTCTATGCAACATGCCAATATTTTTTAATTTGTTAATATAAACTACTGTTTAGCCCTTACAGAAAAATAGGATAATTTGCTAAATGGATAACATCTAATATTAATCATAATTTATTATAATATTCTGTATAATATAATTTACAGAAACATCAGAACTGGACACGAAAGGTATTTCCCTCAATAAAATGCAGGAAAAAGACACATGTCCGTCATTGGAAGTATTCCACAAACACTTTCCAATTGTATTCATAGACAAGACTGGTTACTATAACATTTGTTGGCAAATGTGTAAGGGTACTTATGCAGCGTTGAAGAGGGAGAGTGCCTTAGCTGTGGATATGTTGGACAATGGGAAGATTAATAGCTTCATACCACTGTTTATGACACCTGTAAAGCCCTTATTACAACTTGATCATATATTGAGGTATGTTTTTCTCTTATGTCAATTTATTCCTATAGCTATGTAAACAGTAATTAACATTGTTTGTTATTCTTCAAAGATGGAAGCACTATTACTACAGGTGCACAGTAAATTTCTCTGTCCTAAAGAATTTTTAAAAACTTAGTGCACTGGCTGTCTTAGATACATTGACTGAGTTATTGAAAATAACGATTTACTCACGTTATTTAATTGAGAAAATAAGTACTAGTAGTTCAACTAGTTAGAACTAAGTGCCCGTTTAGGCGACTCGGACGCTGCTCATAAGAATCCCGTTGTGACATGAAATTAGTAAAGACTTTTTCAGTTAATTCACGGATTATGTAATTATTTTCAATGCTAATTATTATGTTTTCGGCTTACACACGTAATCATTTGACGAGATACTCGACTAGTTTCAAGCCATGCTAGAGGCCCATATTAGCCTAGCTAGCTAGCTAAAGGCCCATATTGGCCCATATAAGTAGCAGCGAGACATGAATATGAGCCTCTAGCATGGATTGAAACTAGCCGAGTATCTCGTCAAATTATTACGTGAGTAAGCCGAAAACACGAAAACATAATAATTAATTTAGAATGTCTCACGAAAATTATAATAAAAATATTTTCAATGCATTCAGTATCTCTCACAATAGTATACAAAAACCTTGATTGATTGTTCGAATTAACCAACAAAATTTTTCCTGCAACCAGGTTCAAAAACTTGAATCAGATCAAAAAAGTTGTGGTCGGGAAAGCATCTAAAGAAGAAAAGGTTAATTATGGCGTTGAGGAGTTGCCTCTAGTCATTGATGCGATATACTCCCTGCTGGTGAAGGGTTTGGGTAACAGAGTCGATCTGATACAGCAACTGGTAGAAGCTGACTTCTCATGGCCTGTGAAGAACACTTTGGAAATGGCTAGAAGCGGGTAAGTGCATGTACCTACATAGAAAATTTGTGAAAAGATTGCACACTAGTTTTTATACGACTTTTTTTTAACTACTTTTATTGTGATTGACATGTTGCTTAAAAAACTGGAATCATATTTAGAATATAAATAACTACCCTCATTTTAAGAGTTCCATAATCAAAGGATAAAAGTAGGGTCCCTAACACTAAGGCTCGGCTGTCCATGTATCTATCTGTCTATCTGCTACCCGGTATCTCATGAACTGTGGTGGAAAGATTTGATAATGATAATGTATTTCTGTTGCTGCTATAACAATAATTATAAAAACAAAGTAAACTTTAAGGGTTGCAAAAATATTAAGTATTTTGGCACGAAACACGGTCGTGCGCGAGTTCTAATTAGACTTGACCGGTTTATTCTTTTTAAACCGACTTCCAAAATGAAGGGATGTTCTTAATTCGGCCATATACATATGTTTTAAAATTTTAAAATGTACATAAAGTAATGTATTTGCTAACCACCCACAAAACATATTTTATTATAATCATCCAAAATTGACTGTTGGCTAATTTGTAAATTACTTGAATACGTATAGATTTATTTATGCATATGTGTAACTTTAATTTTTATATAAGAAACCACGGAATAGAAAATAGAAACCAAAGAAGCCTTCAACTAGAAATTATACTAAATCAAATTAACTTAAATGTTTTGCAGATTCGAAGAAAAGCTATCCTTTGGGTTGGTTTTGAACCCAGAAAATTCACTAAACGTCGTGGAGAAGGGACCCCCAGCCAATTTACCTGAAGCAGAGCAGTTTCGGTAATATATAAATTTTGTTTTTAATATTTTTATATCGGTTTATAATAACTCAAGGTTATATTTATATTGCTAGCCTTACTTGTAACATCATCCATTTCGTTATGTCCAAGAGGACCATTTTGCTTTCACCAAAAGATTGATATGTCTTATATTTTACACTGTTTCATACCCAACAAAAATTTTTAATACTACATAGTATAAAACAAAGTCGTTTTCTCTGACTCTACATCCATATGTATGTCTAAATCTTTCAAACTACGCGACTGCTCCTGATTGTTTTTTTTTATTAGTTAGTTTTAGACTTGAAATATTTTTAGAAGTTCAGGGAAGATTTCAATTAAAATACAAAAAAAAAACTTTAACATTCCCCTAAAACCCTTTCTTTAATTGACATTAGATATGTTCTAGTTAATTCTGAGGCTGTGCTGAGTTTGTCTAGTCAGATAGTTCAGTACAAAATTAGTAATACTGATACTTGTTTTTCAGAGCATTCTGGGGAGACAAATCGGAGTTGCGTCGCTTCCAAGACGGATCTATTACAGAGACGTGCGTGTGGGAGGGAGAGACTATGGCGGAAAGACGTACCGTGACCACGCAGATCATTAATTATCTTATGAAGATCAAGTTTGGTAAGTAATCAAGTTTATTTAGATTTCCAGTATTCCATACCTTTGTTAGTCGATATTGTTTATTAAACTAGGTAAAAAAGTTTGCGCAATGAAATATTTGCGCTAAATTTTGCGCATTGGTTGCGCATGTATATTTTTTTAAGGCTGATTTTTAATGCTTAGATAAAAGTTACCTGGGGAATTATTATGACAGACAGACAGTGACAGCAACAATTTTATTCTTTAGATAACATTTATCTGACTATTGAAAAATCAGTCTTTAAAGTAAGAATTTAGAGCGATTACATAATAAGCACAACCGCAAAATAGAAGATTCACATACATATATTCGCTAAAGAAGTAGAAGTTTTTTTGTCAAAGTCAAAGTCAAAATCATTTATTCCAATTAAACCTAAAAAATAGGTACTTTTGAAACGTAAATCTTTAAATATAAAAATGGATCGCAAAATGTGTTGGTAAGCGCATAACTCGACAACGCCTGGACCAATTTTGCTAATTTTTTTTTTTTGTTATGTTTGTTAAACTTAGAAAATTAGGAAAAAGTGACCCTTTTGTAGCGAGATAGTTGGACCCGTGCGAAGCAGGGGCGGGCCGCTAGTTGTAAATGAAATGATCCTTCTCTTACAGAAATAAAGCCCACCGAGTTATACCATGTATGTGACCAGCTGTCTAGCGTAATAGCTCGCAAGCAGTGGTGTCGCGGTACTAGCGTGTTGCAGGTGGAAGAGGCCTCGCTCACAGTGCTACAGAGCTTTGATTCACTCCGACGTGACCTGCGACAGTTGGTACAACTACCGCTAGACATCAGTGCCGTCTTTGGTGAGTGGGGTTTTTTATCCCGGAATAAAAACCGGCCTAAAACATAGCGGTGTGTATCGCCGTTTGAGTGAGGTTACTGGAGGCACAATCCCTACCCTCTCGCCATCCCTTCCCAATCCTTAATTACCCGAAACGAAACAGGTATTCGTAAAATTCCGGCAACGTACTCGAAACTTCTCGTTGTTACGAGTGTCCATAGGCGGGGCCGATTGCTTACCATCAGGTTATCCGCATGCTCGATGCTGACTTAAAAAATTAGATCCGAAACTATATTCTGGATGACGGTAAAAATTACTCCAATGTTTTTTTATGGTATAAGTCGGCAAACGACACGTTTTGAGTGCGTTGCTGGCCTTTTAGGAATAAGGATTGGGAAGGGATGGAGGGAGGGGGAGGGATTGGGCATCCGGTAACCTCAATCACACGGCGAAAACAACGCTGTGATTGTTTCACGCTGGTATTCTGTGAGGCCGTGGTATTACTCCTGTCGAGCCGACCCATTCGTGCCGAAGCATGGCACACATTTAAATTGTTTTTAGAATCTTGCTTATTAGCGGTTTGTTATGTTTGCAGGAGTGTCCCCAGTGTTTAGTTACAGCGACCCGGTGGCCCCGGTGCCCTGCGCCGCCCCGGCCCGGCCCTGGCAGCGCGCCAGTACTTGCCTCGTCAAGGACATACAAAGAGACGGCCTACAAACCTTACCTGACTACGTCCCTGTGTGCAAAGTTGTTATTGAACTCGGTAAGCGACTTTTGTATCAAGAATATTATTCTTAAAGAGATTTCATGGCTTCTATAGCTTATTTTTATCTACTGGAGTATTTTTTTTTTATCCAAACTTATATTATAAATGCGAAAGTAACTTTGTCTGTCTGTCTCTCTTTTCTTCACGCCTAAATTACTGAACCTATTTCTGTGAAACTATTTGATGCTAGCAGCTTGAAATATTAAATACTAGACTCTCTCGCGCGGTTTCACCCGCTGTTCGGCTCCAATTAATCGTATTGTGATGTTTTATAGCCTATAGCACTCAGGAACATTGTAGCTATCTATCAGTGAAAGAATTTTGGCAATCCGACCAACAGTTCCAAAGATTACCCCCTACATACAAACTTAAAAATTTTACCTCTTTATAATATTAGTATACATAATTAACTCTAGCCAGCATTTCATAATAGAGGATTCAGTTTCTTTCCCACGCTTGCTTATATATCAAAATTGCGTACATATACACTATAGCATTGCGTCAGTATACACTTAACATAAAAGTATTTCCATATCCCAGGTCACAGCGGCAAATGGCCAGGCGACATTCACGCCTTCAGATGTTTAAAAGCAGCCTTCTATCTACAACTAGCTGAGCGCCTTAACAAACAATATGGGAACGCCTGCCAAGCTTACAATACACATGTGGATGTACTACGCGACGGTATCACATTCCGACTAGAGATCTCTCATCCGAAAGAGATCACGCTACTGAGAAGAAGCATAGAGAATGGAGTTGTCAAGTTTAGAGATACGGAAGAGAGTTTTCAGTTGCAATGTGACACTGTTTTGTTGCCCCGGCTTAGGGGCGCGTTGCATGGGTGAGTAGTTTTTAAAAGCTTTTCTAATTAAGAGAGAAGTCTTTCGATGATTTTTACCTCAAAAAAAAAGAAAGGATTCGCAATTTCCACTGTTTTCAATATTAGTAGAATTGTATTAGTTTTATTGCAATGCTTATAAAAGGCTGCTATTTCTTTAGTATTTTATCATAACGTAACACCGATATTGTACACTAGTTTGCAATTACTTTAATTTGGGACGGTGATCTGGATTTGTACCTAGTATATGCCAATAGGATTAAAAATAAATAGCTAAAATTTGGCGTTTACATCTTTGTCCTCAGTTTGTCCATTGGCGAAGCGACAAGCTTTGTATTTAATCAAACTTTACTCATTTTAAATATCAATTTAAAAGTTATTTATAATAAATATATTTTTAACAGTCTACGCACGTAACTGGTTAACGGAACTCGACTAGTTTCAAGGCACGCTAGGGCTCATAATTGTTGTGTTATTCCAGTCTACACCAGAAGCACCCATCGTTCGGCGCGACAGTATGCCTGTTCAAGCGCTGGCTATCGTGCCACCTACTGTCGCCCCCGCAGTTCCCGTGGCGGGTCGCCGAGCTGGTGGTGGCCGCCGTGTACCTTCATGCCGCGCCCGCGTTGCCCCCCACCACCCCCACTCTAGGGCTACTCCGGGTATTACACTTGTTAGTGGAATTTGATTGGGCGAGGGATCTATTAGTGTTGGACTTCAATGAAGATATGTCGCGTGAGTATTATGATTTGTTTTAGTAGTTTATTGTAGATTTTTGAAACATACTCTGCATGCTCACGAGATACTCGACTCGTTTCAAGCTATGCCTCTAGCATGGCTTGAAACTAGAGGCATATTCATAAGCAGCATTTCGCGACACGCGACCCTAGTCTAGTAGAAACTAGTCGAGTATCTCGTCAAGTTATAACGTGAGTAAGCCGAAAACATAATAATAAATTTAGAATGTCTCACGAAAGTTATAATAAAAATACTCTGCATACTTATGCGTGGTGAAATGTTACACTTGTGAAATTAATATTTTATTTTTTGTGATCATATATGTTTGTAGCAACAGATGAAAACATTTGGTGGTTTCATAATATTTTAAATATTACCAAACTTGTTGGAGACTATAATTGGGTAGTTTCCTAGGTCAGAAATAAATTAATTTGACGTTTCAATACAATAAAATATAGAAAAATAACTATACTTTTATTCATCGATCGATCGAAACACTAAGTTTTAGATATTTTTTTAGCTAATTATGAAGAAATAAGTAAGCTATTTGACGCAAAAATACTATGACGTCATAATTCAACTTTTCATAGAAAAGTATCGTTTTTGACATTTGCTTATAAGTATAGAATTTGACTAGTTGGAAACTACCGTATTGAGATGACCGATCGAAAACAAATTTAAACATACAGTGTCCCATATTTCTAGCATTTTAAGTGAATGTGTGTAAAAACGTCACAAATCTTCATTTCATACAGAATATTCATAGGAAAGTTATCGTTATTTTATATTTTAATCAAAGTCTTGAATTGGGCTGTGGTCGATCGGTTTAAGTAATTGACTAAATGTAAACAATCTTTGCGAGTCTTTTTATCTAAAAATTGTATGTAAGAATATTTACAATCAGATTTTTACTTAAATAGATGTTAGCTAATAAACTAAATTATTAGATGTATAGAAAATAATCCATGCGATCTGTTTATTATGAAAATACGTAACAAGATTGTTTCCCTTTAGTTCAGCGCCTAAACCTATAGGTATACTATATTTTTCATTCTCTGAAGTTCAACATACGCAATTTTTGCTTAATAAAATTTTTAATAACAGATTAATAATAATAATTCCAGGTGAAGAAATAATGGAAATAGAAAAGAAACTCAATGATGTAGAAGTAGAGTCTCGTCCGGCGGTCCGTATAGTGACTTCCTACGACGGGGAGCAGCCCGGGGCTTGGAGCAGGGCAGGGCCCGACGCTCGGGTACTGGCGAGGGCGAAGGCCTTGGCCAGAAGTGCGCTAGACTATATGGACAAGAAACTCTCTGAATGTGCTGATAATGTTTTGGTAAGGAGATGTTTTATTTCTAGAAGGTCACTTAAAATAATTGGGTGTACTTTAATTTTATTGCGAAGCTTAAGTTATGGAAATTTAAAATTGGTGTCAATTACTCAAAAAAATTCATAACCTCATTCATCATCATCATCATCATCAGCATCAGCCTATAAGCGCCCACTGCTAATCATCACGCTTGCTCAAGGCGGATTGGCAATTTCAAACTTATTAAATTAGAAATAATAAGTCCAGGTTTCCTCACGATGTTTTCCTTCACCGTATGTCAGTGGTGTCTATACGATCATAGAAAGTACATATGACTCGGAAAAAGTCACATTGGTACTTGCAGGTTTCGAACCCGCGCCCTCATGCATGAGAAGCGGGCGCCTTAACCTTCGGGCCACCACGACTTACCACATTGATACTTTAGTTTTACATGGAAGAGCTATGCATCGGTATAAATAGGCCGACGCCAACAGAGTAGAGTATATTACGGCCTCTCGCCTCACCCTAAGCGAGAAGACATTTCCGAGATCAAATTTATGGGTACAGTAATTTTACAATTAGCATTATAATTATTGCAGAACATGTTTGTCCCGTCATACGCGGGGTACAACGTGCTAATCCACGTGGCGCGCCCCCTGGTGGCCCACTGCAGCGAGCGTCTGGACGCGGCGCCCCCCCGCCGGGACCTGCCCCCCACCCCCGCGGGGGACATCATACCTGTCGTCGAGTTCAACCCTGTTGAAAAGTACTTGCAGGAGTTAAGGGTGAGTTCTTTTATTTTCTATTTTATTGTGTAATAATGGCAAATGAGCAATCGGATTACCCCTGATGGTAAGCAATCACGGAAAATCAGCGTGAAACAACTACAGCATTGTTTCGTCGTCCAATGGGGGTATCCATTGAAGGCGCTGGCAACACCAGAAAAGTAACAATACCTACTTCCTATATATTTGAGGAAAGGAGGTGAGGTAAGGGGAGGAATGGGCTTAAACTGAAACAATGCTGTGGTTTTTTCCCGCTGATTTTTTGAGTAGCCGTGGTATCACTTCGGCCGAGCCTGCCCATTCGTGCCAAAACATGGCTCTCTCACAATCAAAAGTTGAAATATAACAAATAACTTCACGCCTTTTACTCTAAAGGAGTAAGTAGAAGTGTATATGTATATAGGGTGACTGGTAGTAACTGAGCGATATTTAAAAACACGATAAAAACAACTTTCCCAAGAAACTTTTTTATACACTCAATTACTATTACCGTAATAAAATTACTGTACAAAGTTCAAACGAGGTCGAGTAGGGCCGCTAACAACTGATCGCGTGCGCACTAAGTTTGTTAAAAGTTGTAATAAAAAAAACCAATGAGAATATAAAAAAAAAATTATATAGTGGGCAGTATTTTGTTTTCATGAGTACAATAGCGTCTCTTTAAATCTGTCTCCAATTATATTATCACTCACCCGATATATATACGAGTATTAACCATTATACATATTTACTTCAATAGAGTGCCTACGGCGAGTTCGCGTTGTTCTTCCACGACACATACGGCGGGGACGTGATCGCAGTACTATGGAAACCTGATATCCACGAAGATAGGGAGTTTCAGGTAAATTGTATTTTACATTTAAAATACTACATATAATATCTAACAACAGTAGTTGTGGTATTTTGACAATATTGGAAGTTAATCTGACAACACTACTTGTTTTTATGGCAGCAAAGTAGTGGTAGCTATTTTTCCTGTTTTCTGACGTCACGCTGCAAATATTAGTGGCGGGTCTTATACATTTTTTAACGATTTACGCTCATCAATAAGTGTAACTTGAAACTAGTCGAGCTTTTGTCAGTTAATTCACGTGAGAAAGTCGTAAAGAGGTAAAAATTGTAAATTTGTATGTGGGGGTAATTTTTGGAATCGCTAGTCGGATATCCGAAATTCACTGATGTATAGCTACAAAGTTTCTGAGCGCTATAGGCTATAATAATAATATCTACCTACGACCGGTAGGAGCCGAGTAGCGGGTGAAACATGGGCTATAAAAAAATTCCTCATTTAGGGCTGATTTTCCAATGGTTAGATAAAAGTTATCAGGGGAATAATTATGATGCAGTCGCGTCAGAATGTTTATATAAGACAGTGACAGCAAGAATTTTATTCCGCACATAACAATCATCTGACTATTGAAAAATCAGCCCTAAAGTAACTACTTTAAACAATATTTTTGTTTGTTTACAGTTGACGAATGCGAACGCGCTCAAGCCAATAACATCGAATCGGGAAACAAAGTATAGAGTGAATACAGAAGCAATTGTCGAAGATTTTAGGATATTAGGCGACGGACTCGTCACAGATATTACTGTTAATACCTAGTTTTAAGTACATATAAATAAATATATTATGTTCTAAGTTTTAATTTGTTTTAATTAGTGATTTTAAAAGTAGTTGTTAATCTATCTATATCCTTTCAAATCCAATCCATATTAATTTTCTTTTCTATGAATTATTTTTGTCGCACGCTTTGATTTCGTCTTTCTTAACAAAAAAAGCAACTATAAGGCCTCTGTCTCGAATCTCGCGGGCAGCGGGGCGGCGGCAGGACCTTACGCGTACAATCAAATAGACCGGCCCTCGAATACAGGCAGCGGGACGGGCGCGGGCAGCGAGCGTGTACTTTAGTCGAGCGGTGACCGCCCGCGTCCACGATAAATCGAGCGTTAGGAATTTTGAATCAAAAAGATGTTGCCGCCATTGTTCAGACATTTCGTTCGCTAATAAAAGCAAATATGCCGACGACACAATAATGAACACAACACTAAGCGGTTACAATGACGCGCGATCCGCCCGCTAGTTTCGAGAACGGGTCTGCGATAACCGCTCCGTTTCCGCTCCGCCGCCGCTGCCGCCCCGCTGCCCGCAAGATTCGAGGCAGCGGCCTTAAAAAGACTTTTTCGTTAAATCAATGGAAATGGGAACTAAAAATAAACATGCCACAATATCTTTAATAATAAAAATGTGTATTATATTTGTAACCACGTTAAAATCTATGTACAGATTACAAAAAAAAAGATTTCTATACTACTCTATTATTACGTTAATGAATTAAGTAAGTAATATCAATGTGTTGAATGAAACAACAAAAGCATATACATACATATTGGTCCTTACAAATCCAAGTTCTCAAATATAAAATTCCAAGGTCCAACTCAGAAATAATCTAAAATGTATTCTGTGTTAATATTTTATAAGTAATGTGTTTAGTTTTCATTCAATCCCTATATGAACGCTTTCGCGCATCTTTGGGGTACTAATTTGTCTCGAATTATCATGATTGAAAGGTTAATTTTTTGAAAAGACAATTGAATTTTCATAAAAATTGAACTTAATATGTAATTAACATTTTCACACACTTTCCTACATATAATAATAAAGATAAAAATGTTACTTTTAAACTTTAATAAAATAAGGTAAAGTATCAAGTGGTGCAGGGTAGTGTCGGATCCAGTCGCCCCCTTGGACAGGTCTCGCTGGGTCGCCCTGCTGCAGCCAGGTCCCAGCAGGCAGGTACACGTCTCTCTCGCGAGCCGTTCGCTCTATCACAGGTGCCACTAGGATATTCTCACCAAGCAAGTATTCTGAAGAAGAAAATAGTAGGCGAGTGAATTATTTCTATTTTTTTTCAATTAAACATTACCATTCATTATGATTTTCTCCTGTGTCATGGGTGGGTTTACAAACATACAATTACACACACACATCACACTCAGACCCGAAACAACAATTTTTGGATCACACTAAGAGTTGTTCCGTTTGGGAATTGAACCTGCGACAAGTAACGCGGCAGCCGATTGCCCAGCTACCGCGCCAACGAGTCTGTTTTTCTATATGAAGAAAAAAATAAAAAAATATATGTATACAGTTTTTTTATAGCTGCCAATTGACATTATTATGTCTAGTCGTTATAATCTTCCCAGTATGTAGTCGCGTTAGTTAGACTAGGTATTTATAACTCAAGAACAGCTGAACCGATTTCGTTGAGAATTGGTGGGGATGTAGTTTTCAACTAGAAGAAGAATATAGAATAGGGTAGAGTAAAGTAAATGGTGTAGGTAGATAACCAGGCAGGGTAGTGTGGGTAGTCAAATGACTTAAAATAGTTTTAAATACATCAAAATGTTGCAATAAGTTTTAAATAAATTGTATTAACTGATTGACGTAATATTAATTACACAGGCACTTACTACTGACATACTTTGACTGCTTAGGATAACTACTAAAGTACTATGATATTTTCTTACATTTTCCTGTTGAAATACAAAGACAATGGAAAACAATTATGTTCCTACACTATTACAATTCTTTTATAGAGTGTTAAAATTACATGCAATTAGTAATCGCTTCCTTAGAAATTACGCGACGGTTCATTGTACCAGTTATTGTCTATGAATGACGCATGCGAACTTTTTAAATTGGATCATGTTATCTTTGGACTGGTAGCTATGACCCATACCTATGGAATATTTTTAAAATATCTCATTATATTTAAGAGTTAGAGAGCCGGATGGCCCCTTGACTGGGACTTGTGATACAACTACTTGCAGATTTATGGAGTAAAAAATATTGAGAGAAATGGGACGTTGAATAGTAGGCTAGTAGGCTCAAGTGCAGAAATACCAAATCAGACCGACTAACCGACTAGTGTAATGACTTCATCGGCTGCCTATACCAAAGTATCCTCAACTAACCAAAGGCCTTTTCTTATTTTCACAAGTAATATGCACATAACATATCTCCATGCTTGCTCAAGGTGGAGTGGTGATTTCGAAATTACAGTCAGTATAAGTCTTGACTTCCTTACGATGTTTTCCTTTAACTTCTTTTTACTGGCGAGTTAATGATTCTAGAAAGGACGTATAGGTAACTCGGATAAAGTCACATTGGTACTTATCAGATTCGAACACGCCTCCATTTTCCTTCTATTTTTCCTCCATTTATGAGAGGGGCTCATCGCGATGTCCAGTTAGGGTCCAGGGTAGGTGAGAAATTCACATTTACCCCAGAAACGAACCGTTTGGTAGCAAGCGCAATAATAAACCGCGGCCCATTCCCGACCAGGAGAAGAGACCGGGCAGTTTTAAAGTCAATACCAGTTAGATTGACACTTCCTCTATCCCCACCTAGGGTAGGAGAAGGTATAAATAATGTTGAATTTCGCCCCTAAAAACATTGTATGACTTACGATCAGAAATGTCGTGAGCCTCTGTATCGTTGGGTGCTATCCACCAAACTGGTGGGTTGACTGGCTCGCCGTGCGTCACCGCTCGCCTACACGCCGCTATAATGGCGGGCGCGTACTGCGCGTGTAGCTGCACGAACTTCTTGCTTATAGCCACCGTCTGAGGAAAGGAAAATGACGCTTTTTATCTGTAAAATTTGTTTAACGTTCAAAAGTGCCTGTTAGGGTCAAATTGAAATTAGCCGGGGTTGCAGAGCAAGCGCAATGTGGCACCGCGGCCTCGGCCTAAAAAAGGAGAAGGAACGGGGGATTTTTAGTCATTAAGAGTGTGACACTACTGACACTCTCTCACCTAATCCTGGGCGGGAGAAGTCATTTGATGATGTTCCCCTCACAAAAAAGGGTCTAATTAAAATAAATAATTTTGACTTCGAAATTAGAGGGATTTTTAAAAAGACATTATTGTGACTTCTTTTATATTATTGATGTTCAGTGACAGTGTGCCACTGCCAGCGCTGATCGTTTACCATCAGGTAAACCGCCTGCCCAATTGCGAATAAACATTGTTAGCTGGTCAAATAGTCTTTCCCAATTTTTTTAATTCTTATATGACTGCTTCAGTTCTATATGGTCGGCACGACCCCTAAGAAGCCAAGGACGCACAGAATATGAAATTACTGCTGTGTTTCGCAATGTGATTGAGGGTAGCGGTGGTCCAAAAAACCCCAAATCCTTAATTTTCAAATTCCTAACAAACCTCACAAGGTCAGTAACAAACTTGTAACTCTGTTCCGGGGTCTATGGGCGACGCTCTACCCAATAAAACAAAAGATACTTCATGACTGATGACTTCATAAGGCATAAATACTCTATTCTTAAGTTTCTAAAATAATTTCTTTTCATTGTAACTAGAGAAATGTGATTGATGAGCATTTCTATAACTAAATCAAGAACTTCTTACCTCATTATCGAATTCCCAAGGAACATAAGAGAACTGCATGCTGGGCATGAACGTGTTAGCTTGCAGCCATCTGATGAACAGCTCCTTGGTGGGAGGCTCATTGTAGCCGTTCCCTCCGATCATATCAGGGAGGACCAGAGGGTAGCCGTTCATGTTCATCTGCAGCAGCGTGGTGATGAGGGTCGGAAGTCCATTCTCGAACGTCCAGTAGGTGTCCTTGTCTATCATGCGGATGAATACTGGTAGGTCTTGGGTTCTGTGGGCAGATTTTGTTGTTGTGTTTTGGAATAAATATTCTACTGTTATTGGAGGGTCTTTTTGTAAAAAGCGATTGAATCTTGGACTTACAGGAAGTCCAAAAGTCAAATATTAACTGCAACTAAACCATAAATAGGTACTTTTGAAACGTCAAAATCGAATCTATCAGTCTGTTCATCAGTGAAGCTAGGTGGTCCTTCCAAATTGTAGATTCGAATGGAGAAGAACGAGCCAGAAACTTCACCGTTGCTCTTTTTTAATTCCTCAATTTCAACGTTCATTTTTATATTTTCAATACTATTAATCGGACTTCATTAAGTTTGCATACATTTATGTACCTACTGCAGCTATTATTACCTGTATCCGACTCGTACTTCGACTAGGGGTCCAAACTGAGCCACTGTCCTCACGTAGTCAGCTGATATAACACCTGGCTGGTCCCTGATGTCTCCTTGCAGGACAGGGATCTAGTAACGATAAAAATACATAATCATCATTATTATCAGCCTATAAGCGCCCATCGCTAAGGAAAGGCCTCTTCTCACACGAAGGAGGAGGATCTTGAGGATTAATCACCACGCTTGCTCAAGGCGGTTTGGCGGTTTCAAACTAATAATGAGAAATTATAAGTCCAAGTGTCCTCACAATGTTCTCCTTCACCGTATATCAATAGTGTCTTAATAATCATAGAAAGTACACATAACTCGGAAAAAGCCATATTGGTCCTTGCCAAGTTTTGAACCCGCATCTTCATGAATGAGAAGCGGGTGATAATAAATCAAGAAGTCTTAAAGAAGACTTAAGAATTCTACCTTTAAATTAAAGATTGAGTTACTAACTTGTGGCGACCAGCTAGATTCTCCACCATCAAACTTGAAGCTGTCGACTCCAGAAGTATTCTTGAGGAGATGCAGTCGGTCCAGGTACCATTGTCTGGCGGCAGGCTTAGTGAAGTCAATAT